GTCACTTTGACCCAGCTGTGAAAAACTCACTGCCTCGGTGGGATTCGAACCCACGACAACGAGGGGAGGCGGGTAAACTTGACCCAAATTTGGTTAAACGCGCGTCGTCCGGTGGGGCCTCGTAGCTCAGATGGTTAGAGCGTTGGCTGTGCTAAAGCCTCCCCTTGTTGTCGTGGGTCCGAATCACACCGAGGCACCGAGTGTTTCACAGTTGGGTCAAAGTGAATTGTTTGAAATCTGCTACAACACCTATGAGTTACGAAGTCCTCGCATGTCCATTCTTTCTGTCGCATAAGTTCGTTTTGAACGTTATGAAGAACCAATACTGCCAGCAATTGTCATAAACGTTATAATTCATGATAACTAGTCTATAAAGCTGACTAGGGGCTATGAAAAGAAAACACAGAACGTTAGTTGTAGTTTGATGTTTAACGAGTAGTATCCTGCTCGCGTTAAAACTGCTGCCATACAAATCATTTTCATTCGCCCCGATGGGGCCTAGTTCAGTTAACCAAGGATGTATGGCCCCTCGGGAGAAGCAAGCAGTCATAAAATAGCTAATAGCCGAATGAACTAGGATGAACGAAGCAAACAACGAGGGTCGGATTAAAATTGCTCTTTTAGACTCTTGATAATCCTACGCTTGAGGTCAACTTAGTTTTTTTGAGATCAAGCGAATCCCAGCATTCCACATTCGTGCAACATGTCCAAACGCTGCCAACTACAATCAGGAGTAATTCCGTGATTCACCATTCTGTCCTTATTACGAGATGAAAGTAACTCAGTGGATATTAGTCAGAAACCATACCGAGTTTTCCAAGCTTCCTCGTCTTATTACTTTGCTTGGAGAGTCTCGGAGGAGGTCAAATTGACCAAAAATAGTCATTGACAATATGCCCCCGTTTATTGATTTTTCGACTCCATTCTACCGCCTGATAGTGACCCAACACAGGTTCGAAGGTAAGATTAAGCGAGAGTACTCCGTTCCATAACCAGCAAAACACAGTCACAACCACGTGAACTTTCCCGATAGAATCGTGGAACCGAAAATATTCACAACGATTCCGCCCTGAAACTCCTGCCCAGGGATATTCTAGACCAGAAACTAGGTGCTATCCTGTACCAGAGATTCTCATCGAAGTAAAAACTTCTGGTATTAAAATTTGTTAGTAGGAAGCCATGGATAAGTCCAGAAATCTTAGAGGTCTTTGCCCATGGCAATATGAAAGGAGACCTTTCAACATGTTCATGCCAAACCTGGGAGTCTTCCAGGCTGCAGACTAGTGACTGGCCAAACTTTATGGAAAACCAACTACAAACTTCAGTCACAGTAATCTGATAGTTCGTTCTTAACAAACGAAGATGTGACTTAGGAGGCGATTCGACTGTACTCAAGATCCGTTTTTCCATATATTATTGGAGGTAAGACGAGCCCGCTCCCAGCTCTAAATAGGCGTTGATAATGGAACTTGCTCGGCTTGTCATGAACTGCGGAGACAAAATAAGTCATGGAAGAAGGGTCAGTTGTGCTGCGATGGACACGATATTTACTGAGGGTGATCTGGACCCGGAAGGTGCAGTCGTCCTTCAAGGGGTTGATCCGCATTGTGTGTTCCTCGTCGTGCTGTCAGTGTTGACATTGCCGTACTCTTCCGTCGAATAAAGATGTTGCCGACAAGACTAATGTGGAAGTTTCCAGTGTTTTTGAAGTAGAAACGTGCGGGAAGCGATGCTCTGCTGACGGCGTTGTTCTGCCGTATTCGGGGTTTGCGCTTCTGTTGCCACCGCCTGACCAGCTCCAGTGTTCGCGACAAATTACCGTACGTGGCAGTCCCGTACAAAGGCGCTCAAGATTCGGTGGATTCCGAGGACTTGGCTAGGAACCCTTGAATGTTTTTAGGGCGTTACTTCTATAATCATTGTTGGTGACTAGCCACTGCAACGTCTGCATAGAACAGTTGATTCAGTAAGTGCCCAGCTGACATTCATCTGGCCACTTCATCGCCTCTGTATTGTTAAACTGCTAATTCCAAAACTGTGGGTATGGGCTCCACTGTTGCTATCGACTGCCGCACAAAACACCGCAAAACCCGATGACATCACTATTGCATGGCGGTCGTGAAGCGTCATTAAATAAGTTTGCTTGTCACAGCTGCCTAATGATTAGGTTTTTGAGCTAAAGCACTAGAGAATACAATCTCAAAGGCGATTGGGGACCTGCCTATGCCTAAAAAAACAAAGAAACCTCATGAAATAGTCTCATTCAGGTATTATAATTCACGCTTCGGTGGCCGTGAAACTGACGCGCCTCACAGACTTTGTCCGGTGGTGCTGGCGAATGGCATGCGAGTTGGATCACTCAACTAAGAAGGATAATTGGTATTTTATAGTAGACTATTTGAAAGCTCCTTAATTCTGCTATCTAAGATGCGATTTCGCGCCTCATCCATAGGTAAAATCAGCCTGCCCGCTGACTCCTTGAATTCCGAATTCCTGACTCAGAACCTCAGTGGATCAAGATTACGGGAGAGGGAGTCAACTGCTATACCACAGCGACCCATGCGACTCTTTTGGTAGACGAAGCAGCGATCACAATCTTGCGAAAAGCGAAACATTCACTGCTCGTTTGAGAACCAGTCAGTGACTGACTGGCCTATATAAAGTGACCTTTCGGTCACTTTACGAACGTCACTGTCGTCTCCGTGTACGCGCCAACATCAGCTGCTGACAAGGTAACCTACTTGTCTATGGTGAAATTGGTTGAGAGGTTTCGCCACCGTGATCTGTTGTTCGATGCTGACCATTGGAATAGCCAGACTAGGCGGGGTGATTTTTCAAACATTCGCCTCACTGACCTCTTTGAAGGCGGCTATCGATGAGACAGTGGCGTGAAAATCTAAAATTTTGCCGAACAGGACGGGATGGTTGTCAAAAACAAGTGCTTCGGCGTCGCATAAAATATGCGTTGACCTGATATTCGAAGGACGGTCATACGAGCAGTAACACTTATGCAATCTAGGTTCCGTAGCCGGGTTCATGATGGCAGATCGATGTGTGGCGCGTAAACTTGCGGTGTGCATGGAGAGGACCGCGTTTCCGTTCGCACACGCCTGGAATTTCAAATATGATCCACTCGAAAACTAACACGCACAGGACGTCTTAGTGTCGAAAACCATCAGAGCACAGCATCGCTGAGGTCCTGCGCACAGAAACCCGAGCCCACGTTACGACCCCAGTCGATGAAACAGGCAGGAATAGCAAATGGTCGGCACTGGAGTCTTGGGTCTGCAAGGCCGTTCAGTAAAACTGCTGGTCTCGCCCAACGGAGTGACGTGGCCATATCAGCGGGATAGCATTTGCAGCTGCTGACAGCTCAGACAATCCGGACTAGGCCTCCGAACATAAATGTCTTCCGCAGACCCTACAACATGACAGGGAAGCCAGCCATTTAAATAAAGAAACAATTGAGCCAAAATAGCGTACTCCGTGTAACAGGCCAGAAGCGTCCGCGCCCGAAGAAAACTGACTAAACTACCCACAAATTTGGTGGTAGGCCCTACGTACTGAATTACTCCATTACCGATGTGGATGATGGTTTGTTGTTGGATGAGGTGTACGGATGTCACCTTAGGGGGCACCCCCTGCTAAGGCTGGTAAACTGCATCACACAAATGTTGACTGCTTGCTACGCTCCTTCAATGGCACCCAAGTCTCAGATGTGGCGCCCCGAAGCCAGACTCTGCCTAGCGGCAACACCCCAGTAACCAGCTCGCCTCAACTGGCAAACTTAGCCAGATGAGGGTACCCGTGCTGCATGTCTCCACACCCGGTAATTGTGCTCCCTTCCCATTTCACCTTCCCCCATTCTCAAAAGTTCTACAGAGAGGGCCCAAACTAACTCGGGTCGCTCTCCCACTAAACCAAGACGTGACCCGTAGTGGAGTTCTGCGGCCGTCTGTGCTGTCTAAGAAGCCCTACTTAGGCACAGCACTGACTAACCTCGCGGGGGAAGAGGCTATAAAAGGTACCTTAAATGAGGGACGGGGAATTACGTCATCTGCTAGTATATCATGACTCGTAGATGCAAAACTCGCAGTCGAAACGCCACAATGAATAATAATCCTTGTAACTCCCCTACGCTCCCCTCGCAGTCTGCTAGGGTGGGTCCGCTCACTCTGGCAGCCTCTGGAATGTTCGTTCTCTTTTAGACAATCCGAAGAGCAACCGACCAGAACGGAGGACGGCAGTAGTCGCTCGAGAAATGGCACACTACAGGGTGGACATTGCTGCACCCAGAGACCCGGTTCTCTGAACAAGACCAACTGGAGGAGGTGGGGACAGACCACGTTTTCTTCTGGAGTGACCGCCCAAAGCCAGAACGGCGTGATGTTGACATCGTCTTTGTCATCCAGAATGACACCGAGGGGCGATTTCACTGTCTGTCGGAGGTTGTAACGACAACGGCCTCCTCCTTCTACGAACCTGCCCAGAACATCACTTTCTTCTCACCTACGATTGCTACAATGGCAGCAACTGGACTACGTTCACATCGGGAGGCGAGATGGACAGGATGTACAGGTAACAAAGGCGATCTGCGATGCAAACGACTGAACCGGCCACCCCCTTGTCATATGCAGGATGAGGCTCCGATAGCAACCTCGCAGAAGACGATAAGGTAAGCGATCACCAGGTATGGTATGCTGGATTTGCCTGCTTACCGCTCCGAATTCAGCAAGTAACTGGTTCGGAGACTGGAAAGTCTGTAAGCTCCAGATGGAAAGACCACCGTGAAGGCTCGCCAGGATTAACTGCGAAATTGTATCCGTTCCACTGCCCTGGACGTCCTCGGGCGCGCGTAGCGTCAACATCGGGACCGGTTAGATAGCGATAACGCAGATATCGGCGACACATTTGCCGAAAAAAACAGGCTGCGCAGGCTCGATGTAAATAAAGTGGCATTTTTCAGAAGTTGCCGCCCTGTGCAGAAATGATCGCGTTAGATGCAGGGCACCTGGATGGTTTGCAAAGCCGAAAACATTCAGGGGTATGCGGACTACAATGCAAAAGAAAAGGTTTTAGTACCAATCAAGGCAGTCTACGACCCAGAAGCTAAAGAAACCGCTCCGCTTCTTAGCTCTGGCGAAACAACACTGACGGATAAATCGCACATTCTGAAGCGCTGGGCGGAGCCCTTCGAAGGTGTCCTCAACCGCTCATCCACGATCTCTGATGATACCACCGAACAGTGCCCAGAAATAGAAACGAACAACGACCTGGACCTTCCGCCTTCAATCTCAGAAGCAACCGTAGTCGTACACCAGCTGTTCAGTGAGGAACCACCTAGAGCCAACGCGATCTCGGTCGACGTTTAGAAACACTTCGGCCCCGGCTCTTGGACAAACTGCGGCAGCCGCTCCAGTACCCCGTTTCTCCGGCTCCTTTTTGTCGGTCGATGGCAGCGACAATCGTTGCCAGGTCGCTGACACACGTCCTGGCTTGATACCCGTGAGCCCCTGTGATTATGCGTCCCCCTAATCCTCACCTAATCCGTCCGATCTCATGACCAGCACTCAGCCAGTTAATCCCACCTACTGACACAGACTATCAGCCCCGCGTGAACTACACACCGAGACTGACACACTCCGTGAACGGACGCTTATCTCTGTCGCAAACAAACAGACAACTTACGAAACCTACCCTATGTACAGAATATACTTGTCCTCACAGCTCCCTGACTTCGGACATTAGACGAAAAGAATTTGTTGTGCGTGGTTTAAGTTGATCTTACATCCTTGGCCGCCACAAATTTCCTGAGGGGCGTTTTTCCCAGGAGTGTGCATCCGGAGAAATTTATTGATAAGCACCATCATCCTGGACAAAAAAGTCCATCAGAACTTTCTGCGCTAAAAGTCGCTGAACATCTACTTCCCTTTCAAAGTTGATTGTGTCAGACATCCCTAAGCGATGGCGTCGATGGACGACTAGATGGGTATAAGCGCTCTCTAAATGAAGTATACATGCCCCGCGACGCTTAGTCCAAAAAGAACGATTAAATATATTTTGCCTATCCACGCCAAATTAAACTGTGTCTATGATTTTATATCTAGTTGAGGATGCAAATACATCGGGCGCGCGTAAGACAGTCGACAGCTCTGTCAGTTGAACATATGCCGAGATGGCTGCTGAGACCGAAAAATAAGGTATCCAGGAGTTCAATTTCGGAACAGCTGATGGACACTGGCTAAGTGGTGAATCCAACGGATGCTTTTGGGGTCCTACTTCAAATCGGCGTCTCCTACGCTATTCGAGTGCCGCAGCAATATGGAGGAGAAAGTCGGAACTGAGTAAGCAGTCAGATCACATGATCCACCTCGCACTGCTATGGTAAATCAGCAAGGGACATAATTCCATCCTCTCTCCCGTTCCCCCACATAACTGACTTATGTCCCATGCTGTGCAGTCGTAATCATATTTGACGGGGTTTCGCTCTAACTCAAACGGGCTCATGCAAACAACTTCTCTCACCCTTCGCGCCATGTTCATCCGTATGCCAGATCACTTCCGATCCCTCTAGGCTGTTTTCTTTTTGAAATGTTAGTCCCATTAGCATGTAATGTCCGTGAGCAATTGAATAAGAGGCCATTAAATTTTATAACGTCATTAAATTCTGCATATCTCGCCGTGTCAGTCTTGTTCACATTTAGTCCAGGAAAAAAAATATATGAGGGCCATTTAATTAACGAGTCTATGTGACCTTATAAGAATGAAATATTGAAAACAGATACCAAATTCGCTCCAGTAATGGTGGTGTGTAAGTTGGAAATTATAAATAAGTAACGAAGAAAATTCAAAAGGCAATTTGGCGAGCGTACGTCTGTTTTCGATAAATTATCTTCAGGCCTGTACATTTATATGACTATTGAAGGAATGAATTAAAAGATACGGGCAAGTAAACAATTAAGCCGTAGTTCGGGTTTGGGGAGGGGAGGGGGAGAGTGAAACACCACAATTCCGGCGATGGTGCGCATCACGGACAACCGATCAACCTCAAAAGAAGTCACAACGACAAATGGTGTGAAGCAAGGTTGTGCGCCACGCCTACCACGAGGTGTGGCCTGAAATCAACCCTAGGCACTGAACCCATAGATATTTGCTAAATGTTTAGCGCATGCACTCGCGCATGAAGGTATCGAGAACCGTTGTCCACGACCTCCTGCTCTCCTATAGCCGTGTATTACGTCCCACGGTGGAGCATGGAACCCTTTACCTGTGGCTACACAAATTTCGAAGTAATTACGAAAGCACAGAATACTGCAGTCATGTATGTGTTGACACCATCTGACGATAAGTATCAACGGGACTAGCCTCATATTTATGTATAAAGTAGCATAGCTGGGTGACGCAATGCCACGAGACGCTCGGATCGACGTTTAGTAATATAATCATCATGATTAACCTTAGTTGTCAGTCAACAATCGTGAGACTAGGTCAAGGCCAATGGTTTTGAGATAGGACACAGTGGCTGAGTAGGCACAAAGCTGATGTCTGGGTGTTTTGCCTGCATTCACCTTCACCCTGTGTGAAGACACCCAGACTACTGTCGTGCGGTCTGGTCCGCCAGTGGAAGCGGTCGTCGGAGTATATTTGTAGGACCTCAGGTAATGGGCGACCTTCAAGCACCCAATCCCGGTTAACAGAACAAGAGGGGTTCACTGTGAATGGAGTCACGAGTTGCTATCTCAGACGACCACGGCTATTGGCGAGGCCAGGGCGCGTGTTGGAGATGTTGTCATTGCTGAGAGAGAGAGGAGGGAGTCTGTGGCGTCGTAGCCAATTCAACTTGGCTTGGGTCCAAGTGGCGCACGCGTCACATTTACCCAGGGGTGGTGTTTACATTGAATTACTAGAGTAGTGACTGTCTAAGGAGGGACAGCAAGGACTGCAACTGCATGGATGCTGGGTAGTCGGGAGCCTACAGGTCAGCGCGTCTGCGACAAAGTGACAATGCTTTGTAGCAGGAGGATTCTTGATCCACGCGAGTAACGCTGTGACGTTTGAGCTCCGAAATAAGAGAGGGTGCAGTAATAATGGTGGGTTACATGAGCGTTGGGTTGCTCCCAGATTCGGGGAGGCACATGTACGGACTGAGGTAGTCAATTGATCTCTTCTTCTTCTTCTTCTTCTTCTTCTTCTTCTTCTTCTTCATCTGAACTGCTTCCCAGAACTCGCCTGTTCACCTCTATCGGCAATCTCTTTGGGAGCAATGCGTTCCGATTGGATCGACGGTGAGAAACATTTGCCCTTCGGGAGTCGTCTGCATATGCGCAGATTGGGTTTCTGCACAGGTGACTCAACAATAATGTGTTGCCAAAGTGTGCTTCGTAAAAACTCCCGATTAACACAGAGCTGGCGAGGTGCGCAGTATTCCAGCACAGCAGACGAATGATCCGAGTGCTCCTTCAAGACTGTCGCGCAAGGCTTCGCAAATACCATCAAAGGATTAACCTGCTTCAGCAGAGGACGAACTCGCGAACAGATGGCGACATGCGAAGTAGCACTAGAGAACAAATTCCGCAAGCTGCCCAATCCAACGTCATGCAAAAACGACAAAACTGGTGCACAACCTATCGTCAAAGGAGCTGGCGAAGGAACAAATGCAGGTGTTAAGGCATGAGTCCTCATTTAACACAGCCGATGCCAAAACTGCCAACATAATTGCGGCAGTGGAGTCCATCTTCCACCAGACAGAAGCGACAGACGAAACGAAGAATCTTATTCAACACAAAATGTTATCCCTCTTCATGGCGCATAGGCCGCCCACCGCGCTTTCCAAGGTCGAACGTGACGTAATAAAGGAACTCAAGGCAGACAACGAGCTCGTTATCGTGCCTGCAGACAAGGGACGTTCCACGGGCGCATTGGACAGGACAGACTGCATTCAGCAAGCCAAACGCTTGGTAGAGGATCGTCAGTCCTACGTCCCATGCGAATCTACTTCCATAAAGACGCCGACACGCTAGATCACCGCGACGCTGTTGGCAATGGAGAAGTCAGGTGCAATATCACCGATCAACCAACGTGTGGCGAGAGTGCAAGAAACGGCCCTGACCCTATTTTACGGTCTCCCGAAAGTGCATGAAGAGGGTCCTCCTTTCTGGCCAATCGTATCGTTAAAAGACACTTCAACCTACGGATAGGCAAAGTGGCTGTTTCGACGTCTCAAGTATCTGACCTCCGATTCGGACACCACAGTCAGCTCGTCAACACAATGCCTGGAGAAGCTTAAAGGAATAAGTCTCATGCCAGGCAACGTTATGGTATCCTTTGCTGTTGCGTCCCTTTCTACATATATTTCGCAGAACCTGGCAGTCGAGACCGTCTAGCTTCTCCTACAAAGCAAATGCGATGAAACGGAGAAGTGGTTCGGATATGGCCATATCATCCAACTCCTGAAGTTCTGTCTGAAGACCTACTTTACATTCGCCAGAACAATCTACGGGCAGGTGAAGGACGCGTCATTGGGTTTGCCGATTTCGGGAGTCATAGCCGAAATGGCCCTACAATGGTTGGAATCGCTGGTTTTCCAACACCACAGACCGAAATCTTAAGCTCGGTACGCAGATGATTCCTTCGTCGTCATCGAGCGAGATCAGGTGCTGACAGTCAAAGAACATCTCAATGCCGCCTTCGCAGACATTCAATTTACGTTGCACACAGGTCGGAAGAAACCATCAGGTGTCAAGTCATGAGGCCGAAAGACCTGCTGCCACTGCAGGAAACGCCTGGAGTCGTTTACCGGATCTGGTGCAGTTGTGAGCAAAGCAACTACGTCGGAAACACTGGGAGATTATTCCGGACGTGCATAGCTGGGCACGCAGCAGCGGTGAGAAGGAAAGATAGCAGCTTTCAGGTAGCAGCTAATTCAACGGGACTCGGCCATATTTTCAAGTTACAAGAGGCCGAATTCCTCGCAAGAGCTGACAACCGCGTAGGCCGCGAGCTGCTCGAATTATGGTTCTCAGGTCCCCAATCCATCAACAAGCGCAATGACCTCCTGGTACCATATTCGGTGCTGAGACATTCCCTGAGCAGGGATGTCGGTCGCGTGGGGAGGGTGCGGGCGACCAACTATGTGGCGGCAGCGGGCTAAATTGCCCAGTCACCATCACGTCAATATCGAAACGGGATGATGAAATCACGGCCATTAACGACTCCAACGCGGATTGACGAGCCAGTATCACCCTAATTACGACCCCAGCGGTGATCCTGAGAGCTGCATGTGGCCCCTCGGCAGATACGTAATATAAATACTGCAGCCTTTGTGCCTCCACTACCTTTATCTGCAAACGTCTTTGAAGATGGGTTCGAGTGT